TGTGTAGAGCTGGTAAATCCGGTTCGAATGAGCGTACAGTGACAACGCTGCGAGAAGATGGAGAGAGGATAGAGGGAAATAATCCAAATGAACCAGTAGCACGCACGTCACGCGTGTGTGAGGATGACCTTGAAGCCATGGGAATGAGTACACACTGATTTCTTTGGACTCGTGAATGGTCAGCAGTATCTGGTCATTGTCGGCTCCTTCAGCAAGTAGTCTGATGTCTACTGCATGGAGCATGCAACAAGTTGTGCAGCAATTAATGTTCTTAGAAGACTTTTCAATCAACACGGATTACCTGAAACCTTAGTCACCGACAATGGTTCGCAGTTTACTTCGTCCCAGTTTGCCGAGTTTTGCGCACTGAATGGCATCACGCATCTATACTCACGGCCGTTTCACTCCCAATCAAATGGACAAGCAAAACACTTTGTTGACACGTTTAAGCGCAGGCTACTGAAGATGAGGGGGAGCAAAACTGCGCAATAGACACTGGACGCTTTCTTGCTAGTAGATAGTTCAACCTCGAACCCCCAGGTGCCAAATCACATGTTGACAGCAGAGGCACTAATGAGAAGAAAGCTCCGCACTGTGAATTCCTTGTTGTTTTCGAGGCGTAGTATTCCGCAAAGAAGGAACACGCAATGAGCGACACAAATCACAAACACGTCAATTTTCCCCAGGACAAGGTATTTTTGACAGTGATTATCGTATGGGAAGTCCTCAGTGGGTGATAGGATCGATCCGGAGAAGACTTTGTTTGATACTTTATGAAGTCGGAGTGGATACTTTGATTTGAATGAGGTGTGTTAATCAGCTGCTAGCAATGAGCATTCCGGCAAGCACTAGTAATCGACTGCTACCGCCAGATATTCTACTGACCAGTTTCGATATGTTGGCAAATATCCAGAACGCTTCGGACGCACATCGCACAGAGGTTCCAGAAGAGCCGAAAATGCAACAACGGCACCGGACTAATCGAGTATGGAGAGCCGTCATCAGAATATAGTTGGATTCAAAAAGGACGTCGTATGTTAATTTTCGCGAAGGTATTAAGGGAGGTGACGCCCTTCTCCAGCTGCCAAGAACAGTTTCCGCTGACGTAGACTGAGGCGTATTGTCTAAGCAATGAGAGAATGGCTAATGATGACGTCTCACGTTGAACGCTACCAACGAGGATAATGTACCTTGTAGCCTGCCAGTGAATGATAGTCATTCCTTTAATAACTCTTTATTCGACCCCAATATTTTCTTGTATAAACTGCTTGCCGGGTGCGCAATACAGTTTCCACCTGAGACCTTTGTTTTCTAAAATGTGACATCAGCCGGTCAGCCTGCGCAGTAGCAGCAGGTTATCCGTACAGTCAGCAGAAAAAACAACACTATACATATACATATATACGTATGTATGTACATGATCAAGGTGTTGGGAATCAAAGGGAGTTGGTAGACCCGAATGGCGTGAGCTACTCTAGATGGCTGTTGCCCAAGTGCAACGGAAAGCACTATTGCATGCGGAGGAGAAAAGTTAGATACGGAAGCGACAGGCGCCATTGGAGTCTACCCCATTGACGTCAAGCGCACGATGCTGTAGTACATGTGGTCGTGAGTGCCTGAGCCAAGCTGGCTTGGTAAGCTACCAGCGTGGCCACGTTGGCCAACATTCAAAAAACGACGAATAATCTGATTATCTAAGCATAACAAGCGCAGCGACTGGTGGGTACGCTGAGTTCGCATTTATTCCATTTACTATCCCAGGAGAGTCAGACAGTTGGTGTAGTACGCGTGCTATATCGTAGTTGCAGTCAGTCAGCACATGTGCCTGCATGCTGACCTTCTTGCAGTGCAGGGTTTGGTTTTTGTTTGATATCCCCGGGGTGGCTGTGCTTGACTTGAATGTTAACAAGGTACCTCATGATCATTCATCATTATGCACGTTAGCTAGAGGTGGGAAACACCTCAGCTACTGTGCCGCAATATATAAAGGAAAAGGAAAATAAATACAACCGTTGCATGTCAATTGAGATACCAGCAACGGATAGACATCGTTCCGGTAAGCTACCAGCCGGCTACTAGGCAAAGCCGGGTACAAGGGACCTACCTGTTTGTTATCCTCCACTTCCTATACACTGTCATCAGGAGACGGTTATTCGTTGCTAGGAAGGACGTTGATGAAACGTAACGCCCATCCACATGCCTCCCGGTCTTATGCCTTCGGTTTTACACTGAATATGGGGTGTGTGGATGGAGCTGTGGGTGGTGCAGCGCAAGCCACGCATGGTCCCTCTGTAGACGCAGGCGTCCTGTGGCTGTCCCTTTGGAAACCACGGTAACAAGCAAATCCGGACACGGATGCCGCCAATTCATTTATACATATATACATTATATATATATTTATATATATATTTATGTTTGGCGGCATCCGGGTTCGGATTTGCCTGTCACTGTGGCCAGCCACAGGACACCTGCGCCTACAGAGGGACCATGGGTGGCTTGCGTTGCACCACCCACAGCTCCAACCACACACTCCATATCCAGTGTAAACGTGGAGGAATGAGGCCGGGAGTCATGTGGATGGGAGTCAGGTTTAATCGACGGAGCCGATCCACACTCGTTCAACAAGCAGCGTGGAAGCATTCCGGCCAAATTGGAAAATCGTGCACATCAGACGTACACAAGACGGTGGCTGGGCCGTAGCCCATTCTACACAAGATGGAACCACTCTTTGAGTTGGTGACCAAACATTTGCAGCACAATTGTTTTGCTCGGAGAACAAACGCAAATCAAAACAGTCAACCTGAGCTGCAAGTACTCCGATTTATCGCAAACATGAAAGCAACATTAGTTCGTCGTAAACTCACCTTGCTCATGTCTTGGTAATGCTATTTTCGGTTTACACGAGTGTCCCTGCATTAAGTTGTTCGTACAAAAGCTGCATGAGTATCCTCGTCGAATTCATTCGGTATACATTTATACATGGATTGGAGTCATCAATGCTCAATGGCAGTTCAAATATAACATATACACATCCATTTGTCCTGACTTAATTATGAACTGCCAGAAACTGACTAGATGCACATTAAACCTCATGAACAACAGTACTACAAACGTGCATGGGTTTTGTTTAGAGATCAGCTTAATAACCACTTTCGCAGGCATGAAAATAAGTACGCAATAGGAACTGTTGGTGTTTACTATAACATTTAGACGTGAAGAAAAATGACAGGCTTAAATGTTTGCCATCCATATTTGAACGACACCGATAAAGGGATAGTGAAACAACTGTCCTTAGTAAGGTTACCAGGTAGAATGATAAATAAACAAGTGGTACAGTAAAATAGTGTGTACTTATGTGCTGTCTCCTATATGTACAATATAGTTTGTGTAGCTGATTGGGGAGATCGCTCAGCGTGCGAATGCGATGGGGTGTTCATTGCAGGCTCTCCGTGTCGCCCACCGGTTCGGTCATCTGCTGCCAGAGGTACGTGCGGATTCTTAAGGAACGGTTATTGCGCAACCTTCAGCATTGTCAGATGGCAATACCACATAGTTGCTGCTTACGGCCTCGTTCGCACGATAACTACCGCAGTAGTAGATTAACTAAGTCCCGCTGACCACTGTCAAACATTCGGCTTTCCAAACAGTGTTTGCACTGTTTTTCAAGCGTCCAAGACGTAGCATGCCTGTCATCCAAGTACACATCCGTTTGTACATGCCACTGTGTACTCCGCTGTGGTCATAAGCTATTTGGGAACGATCTGCATCTTACGTCTCGGATGCGGCCAATCGTTGCTCCTAAAACGAACGTCGCTATGCACCGATTCCTTTCTCAGATAATATACTAAGACACTGACGTGCCATTACCGTTAGCATTACCTTTTTCTTAGTCTATCCAGAAAAGTGGTCAAGTCCAATTCAACTTATGATAGGCGTTTATGCGTTTCCGTCTTCGATCCGTTTGGTACTTGCGTTTTCATATACCCCGGTAAATTTAGTACGGCTGACAAACAACGGTAAATATAGTTATGCTCACTCTCAGTACTAAGCTGCAAAGCGGAGCATGAACTGTCGACCTCACCATAATCGATAGTCGGTTAATTGTTGGGATTGTCTACTTGCCACGGAATTTCCGGGGCAATTTCCCTTCGGATGCATAGTCCAACGTTTTCGCAAGAGGGACAATCGTTGAGCATTGTGTCCCAAATGTCAAACTTTATACTTTATACATACTGTAAACCGCCAAGCAATGGTAACCTTTTGATTCACGCGTATCCACGGAACTGGAAATATACACAATAATTTGCCACCATAGCATCGATCCGTAGCAACAACACAATTCCCTCGGAAACTCCGCGCTTACTTCAACTACGAATGAGCTTATGGATGGATTGAACCTTTATCCTGTTATACACCGGCTCACTAAGCGTCGTGCTGTTTAATATTGGGCTGCTGGTCTAGCTAGGGTCATGTAATCTACCAGTCGATTTCAATGAGCAGGATATAGGTAGCAGAAGAGACAGTGGAAGTTTCGCATAGCCCAGTGAGCAAATACATATATATATATATATATATATATATATATATATATATATATATGAAATGGAGGAGACCGCAGGCAGAAAATGGAAAATTCAACAGAGTACTTTAATACGCGCAGGCGAACTCGTCGACAGCGAATGGGTCTAACTTACTATATCATTTTAGTATTTGGGTTCCGCAGAAAAATGCAAAGTGATACCCCGAACGCTACAAACGTTTAAAAACAATTATAATACCTTAAAATACAATGAGTGCTGATTCGTTTTGTTTGCCTAGACACCTAATGCACACATTGAGCAGGTTATAAGGAATTGGTTATGCACCTAGGTGAACATTGGTCGGGGTTGCTGCTAGCATAAGTGAAGAAGGCTAGTAGTATAGACTTGTCAGAAGAAAACCTGAATCGCTTTTACAGTGTCATTCAAACTAGTTTGTTGAACCTGAAATGTTGTTCATACCGTGTTCAGTTTGATATAGACGCAGGGTGTTCCTTTAGCAATAGCACCTTCCGGATCATTGCACTCTCCTAGCGTCTCTGTCGGGAAGCGACAAGGGACTTCAGGAAAACTATCCACCGGCACATCGTTCGGGCAGGCTGCATTATGTTCAGTTCGTTTGTAGCTGTCCAAAAGCTCTTTTGCCTTGACCAGATAGTGCTCGTTTACGCTGGAAGGGTAGTTGGTGAAGTGTAGAAACGAGTGAAGCGGGCTGAGTCGTGGTGAGAAACTAACTCCTGAAAACGGAAAGGACAAGAGTTGATGAAAAGGTAGATGAAATGAAATGTGCAAACTAAAAGAAGATGTTCGTGCCTGCACCTAGTAAGGTAACTCTGTGAAGTAATTAGCAAATATTCATACATTAAGATCACGGGAAAATAACGAAGTTGACAGTCTTATTTGTTGCGAAAACAATTTTGCGGCCTGGATTATAAGACAAGACAAATGCGGGGCACAACTTGTTGACCCAGAGTGCACTGTCTGCCATATTCGTTATAACATTTCCTAACCTTAATAACCAAAGAAAATGAAAGTCATTTGTGCAAATGGAAGTTAATCCGAGTGATGAATAGTGATGATTTGATGCGGCTTCAATATACTTCCAATCGAAGTAAATGCTTTACATCATAGCTGTGGTTTGGATCCTAAATAATGCGTACGTGTTGAGTAATTTCAGTTTTCTGCTATTCGGAGGAACGAAGTAAAGATTCAATTTGTGAACCCATTAACACAGATTATCCTGGATAATATCCATTTTAAAAGTACTGACAAAAAAGCATTTGCTAGGATTTTATTTCTAGCTTTTAACTGTAGCTGACTAGCATAATCAAAAATGATCAGTGTCCTTGCTGATAAAGAAAGCAAGATAAAATATTGCAAGACAAGTTTCAGCCGACAAAACGAATCGGAAAACAATGAGGTAACCGACAGCAGACACTAGAAAATGAAGTCAACTGTCTTAATTTGTAATGCATACTAGTTTATGCGTTACAGAAACGACACCAAATGAGAAAAAAGATTATAACTAAGGAAGGAGTTGGGAAACAAGAAGAGAAGGAAGTGTGATTGTATCGATAAGTCAGTTGTCATCATAAACCTAGTAATCAGCAAGTACTAGGGCAATAGAAATATGTACACATCAGCATGGTCAACATATACGTCCGGACTGCACACCGGCGAGCAGATAAATTGCAAGTCTCAAATAACTAAATCAAATCTGGCGCGATACCAGTCTGCAATAGGCACAAGGGAACATGCTCAGCTAACTAACACCAAAACATCAAAGTGAAGTAAACGGCTTTGTCGTTATTAGCGCAAAGGCGATGAAAAACCAATAAACAGGAGAAAGCTGGGATTTAAAGTTTAGAGATAGCAAAATACAGAGCTGAATATGGAATACAAAAAGTGAGTAAGAATGAAGATTTAATAGCAAAGAAGGTGCCATTATATCTATACCGGAAATGTTGCCTTCGGGCCCCTGTTCCGATTTAGTAAATGACACGAAGAACGGAGTCAGTACTAGAAGAACCTGAAGCAGTTTTAGTGGGTATTTTGCAATAGTGACGCTACTATGCTGTGTTTTCCTAAATTGCACATGTCAACTGCAGTATGGTGCATATTTAAAGCTAGCGCTGCGTGGTAACCATCATGATATAGAGTGGCAGCGTAATAAGAACCAATGTAAATAAGTTTCCTGATCATGCAGATAATTTAAAGGCATTAAAAAATAATAGAGAAAAGGGTGTTAACCTGCTAAATAAACTAGTAATATTGGATGCCTAGCGGAGGTTTAAAAAAGTAAAAGAAAGGAACACTGGTCATGAAGATCTGCGGAAAGATAACACTTTTTAGCTACCCGTACTGAAGAGTCTTGTTTGATGTGTCATACCAGCGGCACATCCATCACTGATGGGTCAGAAGAGTGCGTTGCTGAAAGCTCTGTTCACTCGTCAAAGACGCATTTATTCATCTGATTGTCTGCCTGCTGAGACATTGTATATTTTTGGAACGCTTATGGAAAACGCTTACCCTAAACGTTCCACCAAGAAAAACGGCCAGTTAAGGTCACTGAGGGAAACGGTGTTGATAGCACCAAAGTAAAGGTCTAGATAAAACTGCCAGTTAAAGGTAACGACGCCAGTAAGAGCCAAATAAAGCACCTAGTCACTGTCACTCAGAAGGTTTACGGTGCCACGGATGCAAAATCCGATGGCTGTTGTTGCCTACAAAACAGGAAGAGGAACCCTTAGGTGTCAAATCACATTATGTTACATAGTTAGCACCGAGAGTTTTGAACTTGTGAGATGGAAACCCTGCCAAATTGGGTTTACAGTGGGGCAAACTAACTAAGGCCCAATCTTTTGTGTTCAAGTAAGCTGCTAGTATCATCATTAGCCAGGCATATTTTGCTAACCCCACATGGGATTTACCACGGCGCCACATTTCGTATTTTATTAAAAGGGAAAATAAATAAAATACATCGTTGGCTTTACGCTGTAACGGCGCTTTGCTGCCACACGACCGCTACCAGTCGCGCGTGGGCTAAGTATACCGCGAAGACACCGGCCCATAAGCGGATTCGAACCGGTGACGTTATGATTACAAGGCAGGCGCGCAGACCACTCGGCCACCGACCGGCTTCAAATTTTACTTGATCATCCTAATTTGTGCTTCTTGTAATTCGCCGAGGTCGTGACGATAAGGCAGATAAAACCTGTTCTGTGTGTGCAAAAACAACCAGTTGTTGATGTTCGTTTGCCTTGGTCCGAAAACAATCGCCGCCGGTCACTCTGCTATGTGTAATTGGGCAAGTAGCGCCTTTTGGTTTCAATACGGTTATTTCTTGTTATCATATTGGTACGGATGAGAATGTTTGTCTTTGTACTGTGTTATGTAAATTTAAAAGATATGAGGTGAGAGAATTTTTGTGGAAAAATCTACCGGAAACTTCTAAGCAGTTAGTCCTATTCACATGGGAGTGGGAAGCAGTGCAAACCGGCTAATGCGAATGCGGATTATAGCGGTAAGCCACCTTGATTCTGGTATAGACAGCTTTATAAGGTCAGATCAGGTAACGTCTAAATAGTTGTACGGTAGCCACTGTCATAGGTAAGCTAAGGTGAGTTTTACTTATTTCAGGCTACGAGCCGTTTAGCTAGAGGTTTATCCAAAGCAAACAAGTGACTAGAGTATCCTTCACCCGCTTAGTTGCGCTTGCAAAACGAAGTGGATACTAAAACGCAAAATAAAGATAAATGATTGCACAAAACTTTGGAAGATTTTGTGCTTACGTTTACCTTGTTTTCAACGTTTGACTTGACTTTGTGTCAGCCACCAAAGCTCGCTGAACTAGATAGGTATACAAGATATTGCACTGAACGAGGGTAGGCTAACGGTTATATAATAATAAAGGACAGATAACGGACCTATGGCAGAAGATAGCCTCAAGTTGGCAGCCAAAAATGAGTGCATAAAAAGGTTGCTATGTAATGTAAAGGTTATCTGTAAAAGGTATATCCACCGACCAAACCGTGCATTTTGTTACAAAAAGATTGGATGTATCGTTAAAATACGTAGCTATGAACAATGAACAATGATTTATCACGGGATAGAAGCAAGTGCTTGACATGTCCCGTAGGATGGTTGAGGTGAATATGATGAAATCAAAATATATCTGGGTCATACACCGAACGTCTACCGAGATGAACACTTTGATAATTAACATCAGTGTAAAATTAAAAAAATTATCGAGCGTAATCGTTCAGAAAGGCATTGGAGTGCAGTGGTCGTGGATGTAAGGCGTGAGAAAAGCTGTAGGAGACAGCCCACGTAAAAACAATGAAATGGGTATATAAAAATCAGAACCAGTGCACCCCGACTAAACGATCCATCCAGGTCTTCCTGCGAGACTACGCTATTCTCGTACTAGTAGAAAGTGGTGTGGGAGAAGATTAAATCATGCTTCGACGAGGCTTATGTTCATTATATGTGGCTCATATAGCAATATTTTATCAAAGACACACTATCCATATGTAAATGCCACGGGGCGGCACATGTATTGGAAGCGGCTTGAACGCTGGAAAAATTACCAAACAGTTCTTTTAACCATCACCTACGAGAGCTAGAAGGTGGTAAGATATGAGTAATACTTGAGGACTGATTGTCTCTGGCCTGAAAATGATTACATCGAGTCAGAGTTAGTTACTCCACCGAATGCTGTCAGCTGCTATTAGAGGCCTAGTAATACGCACGTGTCTGTGGTAGCTTTGCTGCGCATCAAGGAAACCCATGTGTAGTCTAAAAATATATATAAATATATGTACTCAGAGAGTATTCGCTTTACTCTTTTGGTATCGACGTGTGCTGAGTCTCTGAAACACGTATACATGATGATAGGGTTGTGACGAATCATCTACGTTCTTGTTTTGAATCTGCCGATAATAACCACATGTTTTGCGCCTCTGGGGCAATGAATCAATGGTTCAAGATATGTACGGTGTTTGTATCGCCCTCAGCAAACATATCGTAAGCAATCTAATTGCCTGGACGCCGGTGGGTAGTCGCATATGTGCGGTTTATTCAAACCGGAGTTACTAAAATGTTTAATGATAAGGTGCCTTTGTGTTGGGTTCATTGAGTGGCTTAGAGCGGAAGGGATGTACCATGTCAGCTCCTCTTCATTGCCTTAGTTTATGCACCAACTAAAGGTAGTTTAGAGAGTATCAAAGACGATTTCTATCATGAACTCCTAACACATGGTCGCAAGACAACTACTGACACCGTCATTGTTTTCGGTGACATGAATGCCCAACTGGGTCGTCTTTCAGACTCTAAACAACATCCAGGTGGCCGCTTCGGGCTCGTTGCGCGCCGAACAAAGAGTGGTGACCGATTCCTGCAGCTGCGCGTCGACCGAGACCTTTATATTAGCGGCACTTCTTTCCAGCACAATCGTTCACACCGCGTAGCCTGGCGCCCACTGAATTCCTCAATGACCAGAACCTAGATTGACCATATAGCCATCAGCCACAGATGAGGCATCAGACCAAGACTGTCGGTCAATTTCGAGCACATGCGTGGATTCCGACCATGCTTTAGTGCGCGCATGCCTGGATCTTCCCCTACCATCTTCAAATAAGCGACTAGCTCTTAGCTTCTTACCTGCAACTTGAACTCGTAGTCTTCAGTTTAACAATCTTGATACGAACTGGCCCACTAATTGTCAATGATAAATAAG